GGATAGTTGTTTCTTGTAATATTAGCTCGTAGAATACACTTGTGTCCTCCTCATCATCATTTTTTATTCCATCTATGGGATGTGGGCTTTACTGGCCGGGCCAATGTTTGTTGCCCACCCCTAGAGAAGATGGCAGTAACTTGCCTTCTTGAATCACTACAGTTCATTTGGTGTAGGTTGACCCACAATGCCATTCAGGAGCGAGTTCCAGGATGTTCTCCAAGTGATACTGAAGGAATGGTGATATATTTCCAAGTCAGGATGGCAAGTGGCCTGGAGGGGAACTTGCAAGTGGTGTTCACATGTATCTACTGCCCTTGTCCTTCTAGGTGATAGTTGTTATGGGTTTGGAAGGTGCTGTCCAAGGATCCTGTGAATTTCTGCAGTAGACCTTGTAGATAGTAGACAGGTCCTCCTTGCTGCTCAGAGAGTAAGGAGGCAGTCTTATTGCAGGTTTGCTTTTGAGTTCATTGCTAAGTGTCATAGCAGTGCAGGATGACTTGGCATACCTACTTACTCTCTTTCTTTTTGTGGAAGTGACTCACCTCTCCACATGACTCTCTGATAGCCCATGTTGTCAATGAGTTTACTAATTGATCTATATTTTCTATGCCATCTTTGATCATACCCTATCTGGCATAATGTTCATAATTTTACTTGAACAGACTATATTCACTCAAGAGTTCATAATAGAATGGTTCCAAACTCTGAAGTGATCTTGTAGCACAGCTGCCGAGCAGCCCAGCAGCCCGTGCCAATTTGTACCAAGTCCACTGGTTCAAATGCCAGATTTAGCAAGCACTGTTAGAATTGACGCAATGAAAGAAGAGCATTAGACCCAATCTTTCCTGACCTTTCAAAGAAAGGATATGTTAAGCCCAGGTAGCTTCTGAGAGAATTATGAAGTAGAAGGATACAAAATGGTGGATGAAAATATTGATTGTACATTTTTGGTTTCTATGAATATGTTTATTGAAAATCAATACTTGATGTATCATTTTGTATACTAATGATTTATGTCTGTTATAAAGAATCTCTATGTAGGAACATGCAATGCAAGCCATCATGTCAAAACAACATATGCGTTCATGCTGCAACAGTAGTTAGATACTGAACAATTGCTTCCTCACAGTGAGAATGTAACTAAGATTTGGGGTGGGAGAATGAGACATTGAGTGGTCACCACCTAACCACACTTGTTTCTCTTCACACTGAATTAGACTGATGTTGGTGAGGTTTAGCAGCAGGTTTCTTGTCCCTAAGAGCACAACAACTATATGGACTGAGAAGTAAACAAAGATTTCTTGCACTTGCGCCACTAACGTCATGATGCATTGTGTGCTAGTTGACCAAGAAGGCACAAGTTTAGACAAGTTAAAAGCAACTCGAGGTCCGGTTTATCAAAGGTGTTTGTCATAAAAGTGAAAGCATTAGCATAAATTACCAAGTAAGATGGAGGAAACCAAAGAATTGTAATCAGTTCCTCAGGGTAGTGTCCAAGGCCCAAACATTTTAAGCTGCTTCATCAATGACACATGCAGAGACTAAAGCAGTCCCTCTGGAAATGCAAAAAAGACCTGGAAAAGATCCAGGCCTAGGCTGACAGGTGACAAGTAACTCATGTCACACAAATGGCAGGCTATGACCATCTCCAATAAGAGACAATCTAACCACCACCCCTTGATATTCAATGGTATTGTCATCACTGAATCCTCCACTATCAACATCCTGAGGGTTACTAGTGACCAGAAACTCAGCTGCATTTGCCACGTAAACACAGTGGCTATGAGAGCAGGTCAGAGGCAAGCAATACTGTGGCAAGTAACTCCCCTCTTGTCTCCCCAAAACCTGTCTGTCACCTACAAGGTGCAAATCAGGAGTGTATAGAATAGTCCTCACTTGTCTGGATGAATGCAGCTCCAACAACACTCAAGAAGCTTCACACCATCCAGGAGAAATCAGCCTGCTTGATTGGCCATCACATCTACTCCCTCCAATGCTGACTTTCAGGAGCAGCAGTGTGTACTATCTACAAGATGCATTGCAGAAATTCACCAAAGATCCTTAGATGGCACCTTCCAAATCCATTACGACTTCCATTTCAAAGGACAAAGGCAGTAGATACTTGAGAACATCATCACCAGCAAGTGCCCCTCCAAGACACTCACCATTCTGACTTAGAAATATATTGCCATTCCTTCAGTTACTGGGTCAAAATCCTCTAGTTTCCTCCCACACAGCATTGTGGGTCAACCCACAACATGGACTGCGGTGATTCAAGCTCAACACTTACTCAAAGGCAAATATGGATGGGCAATAAATGCTGGCCAGCCGGCAATGCCCATATCCCATGAATGAATTAAAAAAAAATTAAGAGCTAACTGTATGCAAATCTGAAAGGAACTGCAAGCATTCTTAGACAGATGAGCTAAGATAGTATGAATGCCTTTCTCTGTGTTGCGTGAAACCTAATGTTGAGAAGTCCTTCTACAGTTGAGAACTCATCCATAGTATAAGTTTATTCGGTTAAATAATAAATCACTTCACTGCATTTCCTTCCTACTTTGTTTCTTCCTTAAATAAATTTTCTTAAAAGGAAGTTATTATTAAACAACTCATGTCAAAAATGAATGTAACCAACAAATAATTACTCAATAAAATTCATAATCCATCAAAATCTTTTTTAAATCGGTTATAAGTGCTATAATATCTTTAACAATAGTTTCTAATATATTCACTATTCCAAATGCAGACCCAACCTGTAATTAGTTTCCAGAATTCTGTCTTCATCTCTTTGTCTATTTTGCCAAAATCTAGGGAATCCTGAAAATGAAAACTAATGCAAAACAATCTGGTTCAGTACTAAGTACTCTCACGACTCACTGTAAGACATCAGGATGAAGTCCATCAGAACCAGTAAACTTTTCAACATGCAGCTCCAACAATCTGCTCAGTATCACCTCCTTGGTGTTTGCAATTATCCCAACTCACTTCCTATATGTTATCTCTCTTCCTTTTTAAATATCAGTAGACTTCTTACTATCTGTTTTTATATTTCTAGTTAGCTTTCTCTCATAATCTAATCTTTCCTTCCTATTACTCTTCTAATCATTTTTTCCATTCTTTATATACTGACCTGGCTCATATCTTTGAAATTATATGCTTTTTCATTCAGTTTGTTACTATCTTTGGCATTTTTAAGTTCAGTACAGGTGGTGGTCCTCCCTTGGAACTTTTTCTTTCTCACTGAAATATACCCAATTTCTATATTCTCATATATCCGCTTAAATGTCTGTCACTGCATCTCTATTGACCCATCTCTTAACATAATTTGCCACCTCAGTTTTGTTAGTTCTCCTTTCGAATCATCAAAATTGCCTTTGTTTAAATTTGAAATAGTACTCTTGGACCCACTCTTATCTGGCTCAAACTCAATGGAAAATTGCTGGTATATAGAAGTGCATTCATTTTGAGTTCATTAATTAATCAATCCTGTCTTGTGCACAGTACCAGATCTAGTATAGCCTGCTTTTGGGTTATCTTCAGAATGTACTTTCTAAGTACATTCTACATTCTTATAAAACTATGCCGAAAACATTCTATGAAATCCTTATCTAGTCTGCCTTAGTTCATCTGATGTTTTTCCAATCTATATGTAAATTAAAATCCCGCCATGGTTATCACCGTATCTTCCTTTTATACCACATCCTACAACGTAGTTACCGCTCAGGGACTTTTGCACCACTCCCAAAGTGTCATCTGTACCCAAACCACTTCCACACCCTAGCTTCCTAAACTGCAAGTTGTTTAGGTAATAATCCAGTGATTATTATCTCTGAGTTGCTGCTGCTTAATTTGGTGCCTGGCTGTTCAAAGTTGATATACAGAACCTCTTTCCATGTCCTACCTATGTCATTGGTGCCTGGATGAACCACAATCTCTCCCTCCCACCATTAGTGCTTCTCCAGACCTGAGCAGATGCCCCAAACCCTGGAATTAGGCAGAGAGCAGAGCTTCTGGACTTTGACTAACCCTAACCCTTTATAACCACTGCATTCCTTTTTCTCCCCATTACAATGTTTTCCTCTTATAGCCATGGTCAGTTAGCTAATCCACCTTGTAGCCCCAACCGTTTTTCTAACCAGCGACGAAATCAGATAATCCTAACCAAACGGATGTGACTGCCTCCTAGAATAACAAAGTCCAAATAATTTTCCTTATCTGTGATGATCATAATGTATACAGTTTGGTGTCCAGTTTATAAAATCTGAGCTAAATCAGCTTGAGCTGCAAATACTTAATGCAGACATGCTTGCCCTGGCTCTTACTGACACTGAGGAATCTGCTGCAGTTATGACACAAACATGTTTTAATGAGTTACTTAATCAATTTATTTATATGTTTGACTTTTTTTAGGATATTTTATTAACCTTACCAACAGTTCCAATACAACAAGGTGCAGGGCTGGATGAACACAGCAGGCCAAGCAGCATCATAGGAGCAGAGAGGCTAGTTCTTATGAATAGAATGGACCTTAATCTCTTACCAGATACTCACCAAACAATTAGTATCTTCCCTTGTAGTACAGTAAACAATTCCTAGAGGTGAAAATGTTAGAAAAACTAAAGGAGTTCCTCTTCTACTCTTCTCCATCTCCTGGACTCACCCAACTCCCAGCACTCTGTTCAAAGTCACATTTTGATTTGATCATTGGAATCACATTATCTATTTGAGATTCCCTCTGCAGTGAGCTCCAATTCTTAATCTGCTTTTGAGAGGAATTGGTAATTGATGGCTGAGACAAGAAGGAACAGATGTATCCCCTCCACCAATATTGGTCTGCCAGAGGAGTGAGAAGTGATAGCAGTACAAGCAACTGGGATGTGGATAACTGTATAAATATTTGACTCAATGATAAAATACCCTAAAATATATTGCACTGTTCTCTTAGATTGATGGTTTGTTTGATGTTAAGATGTTGCATTTTTTTCCCCCTGCAGAGCACTGTTGTTGTGGAGAAGTCAATGCAGGATCTGGTGAACCTAATGCACGATCTGAGTGCGTACTCTGATCAATTCCTGAATATGGTGTGTGTGAAGCTCCAGGAGTACAAGGACACATGTATAATTGCCTACAGGTAAGCAGCCAATTATGAAAGACTGACGAATGTTATTCCTGTCGCTAATGGTGTTCACTGTGTGTCATTAATAACACATGTTTCTTGCTTTTCATCTTTAACTCCATTGATTAAAACACCCTTAGGTTGCCAAGATATTTACTCATTCTTACAGGTACCCAATGCCACTAAACAAAAGTGTTTCCAGGGTAGGTGCATGTCTTTTACATTCCCTTTCCTTTGTATTACATTACATGTCAAACATACAAATATGTCATTGGACTGTGTTTCAACTGCAATTTCTTTGAGGAAATTCCAAATAAATTACTTACTGGATCTCTTTGTGACCAACTTATTTCTGTCCCTCCGTTCTGCAATCTCAGAACAAGCAGGAATGATTTCTCGACAATTACTCCATCAGTCCTTAAAATAATTTTAGAAGTTTGATTACAATCTTGTTTGTCTTTAGGCAGAGAAAAGTATTCCAATGTCTTGAATCTTGCTTTAATATAAGGGCGTAAGGAGGAGGTGGGGAGAAATGGGGACAATTACTTAAAATGCTTTGAGCTTGCAAAAGATGGTAAGTAAACATTGAAGCATGAATGGAGCAGAATACATAGGAAATAAAGACCAAACTTTAGCCAGAAGATATGAAAGGTGTTTATGGTGAACTGTGACAAAAAGACTGTGATGTAAAATGAAATGAGAAAGTTCAGGGATTTAGAAAATAAGACAAGAATCTTTAGGTGTTGAGGCTTTTTGAGGCCATATCCTCTTGTAGTCTGATTGAATTGCAGCTTCTGATATTGGAATAGAAAAGTCTATTAGAGAAGCAATTAAGAAACTGAATCTCAAAATGACCTGCACTTAAGTTACAAAAAGCTGTGTTACTTGGCTTATTTTCCTTTAATATACAAGGCCTGATTTCCCTCAAAAGGTCACTACATTGTAAATGACAGTGCAATATCTGGAATCTCTCAAGGCCTAGCACAATTTGATTATTCCATTATTGTTAAGCAGTGGCCTTAGGCCCAGGTTTATACTCATGGCTCTTATTAAATAGTTGGATTTTACTTATCAAAATCTCTGGTGCTATGAAAGCCATATTGATATTATATTCAGTTTCTTTGAGATTCTAGGCTGGCAGATATGATACAGTTTTGCATTTGATGCAACTCTATGTGAATAACCTCATTGGCACAAGACTGTCAAAGGCCTGGAAGCTGGTCAACTACCCATGAGCTCAGGCACTGACAGTATACAGGTATGAAGGCTAGTCACCCAATCACAAATAAATATATGGGAACAAAATTCTGCAATTAAGGTAATATTTCAGGACAAGATTCACTCAGAGGAAAAGGAAAACTGAAATAAGCTGGGTTGTAGCTTGTTTTGCAGAATCTGTAGACTGTCACATTCCTTGTAGATTCAAAACTGTTTTTGAAATGGAACTGTGATTTATTTTGTATCCTTGACAGTTCCTAAATTAAGCTGCAGAAGGTTATAATCCACTGTTATAATTTTCAATTTGATTATTCTAACTTTTTGTGGCTGATTTTGAGGTTCTCCGGTTTCATCCAATAATACATCAAGGTCTGACAAAATTAGGTTTAATTTGATTATTTTCAAATTGAATTGATTTACTACATTTTAAACTCATAAGAAGGGCAAGTGATTTGCTGCAATAACTTGTGATCACTCCAATCCACTGAAAAACCATCACTTCCACTGCCTGCAATGAAATTTTTGTACTCTTATAGCAAATTGTGTTGCATGGTTAACTAGAAATTTACCATGTGTGCAGATTGGCATAGCTGAAAAACTCATCTGTTTTATTTCACAGAATTAAAGCTCTTGAATACTTCCACCAAAGACACCCAAGTTCCAATATGTGAATTCACTAGTAGGGCAAAATCACAAATAACAAACCCATGGTTCCCATATTCCCTTCATGGTAATATTCAGAGCTTTTATTCAAAGTACACAGAGCGTTATGAATTTTTAAGATTTAGTCGACCCGATAAAGGTTGTGTCCCTATGATCAAAGCAAATTTGTAACACAGCAACCTTTAGACCCTGGAAGTCTAGAATTGGAGATCATAGGAATATTGCACCCATGTCACATGAGATACATCAGTACAAACAGCCACTTTTAGTAGGGAGCAAGCAGTGATGGACCAGCACAGCTAGTAAAGTAGGACAGGAGGAAACATGTAGCACACTGGGTCAGGAAACAGAATAAAATTGCCTTTTTAATTACCTTTTTGGGGATTGAAGTGCAGGGTGGCAGCATTGAGCATTTAAATATTGGTGTTCCAGATACAATGACCATAGGTTGCTTTCAAAATACTGCTGCTATTCTTTCAAGCTAACTTTGAAGATCCAGCCAAAAGATCTTAAATGAATTTGATTGTCAAACTCCTCAAGAACTCTACTGTTGCCTTGGATCTTGCTATACAACTTGGGACCATGCTGCAATTTGACCTTTCTTTCCCAAGAGACTTGGGAGATGAACAAAAACTGCTCCACAATCCGATCTTAAAGACTTCAGTAGATGTCCTGGGATAATATAAGCACAAGCATCAAGATGTTTGATGAGTTTGTTTTTTCTTTCCTTATGTCGTTGAGCTGTTTGTTGACGGCACCAGTCTTGAGATTGTTGAAAAGTTCAACCTAGGTATGCCATTATAGATGAAGATATCCATGCAAGCATGCAGGAAAATGTTCTGCCAATGAACACCTTCATGATTGTGCCAGGAACAACATGTCATTAAACTAAATTCTAAAATCACGCTCTACCAGTCCATCATCCTTACCAAATCACTGTACAGCGCAGAATCCTGGATGTACTAGAGGTACCTCCTTAACCTCTGGAACACTTCCATCAAAAACACCTGATGTTCTTCATAAGAAATCATTAGCATTGCTAAATCACAAACAATACCATCCTTCATTGTGTTGGGTACAACAACAAGGACAGTACACCCATCTCTCGGGGTGGAGGGGGAAGTGCTGCAACTGACTGACATTTGCAATAGCAAGGATTAAAACTTGATTCAGTATGCTTACAGGACCAGCAATAGGAAACTTGCAACATGCTCAGAGGAATACCAAAAGTGACATAGCTGCAGAAGTTTTCCTAGACATTATCAACAGCTGTTAATGTGGGAAAATGTAGAACTATGCACTTAAGCAGGGAGATTAGAAGAACTGAATGTTATTTAAACGGAGAAAGACTGCAGAAAGCTACAGCACACAATTTTGGAAGCAGCATTGCCTCTAATTTTCTTTTCATCCTTATAGACCTCGAAGGTCCATGAGCAGCAAAGACTTCTGGAACTGTAAGTCAATGCTGCGATCTGTGTCAGCACACCAATTGCCATGCAGTTGAAAAGGAACATTGTTTGGGAGTCTGTACTGAAAACAAAAAATGCTGGAGATCACAGCTAATGTTTCGAGTCTAGTTGACTCTTCATCAGAGCTCGTGTAGATTTGAAAAGTTAGCTTGCTTTCTCTCCATGGATAATGACTGACCTGCAGGGATCGCCAGCATTTTTTAGTTTTCAGTATAGATTCCACCATTTGCAGCAATTTGCTCCTACATTTGGAAGTCTGTGCACAAATCACAGAAAGCTATCATGCAAGTTCAGCAGGTAACAGAGAAAGCAAACAGAATGATGGTCTTTATTTCAAAAGGAAAGGAGTATAAAAAATAATAGACTTGCTAAAACTATACACCTGAAAGGCCACAATTCCCTCTTCTAAGGAAAGATGTACTGTCATTGGAGGCAGTCCACAGAACTTTCCCTAGGTTGATCCCGGGCATGGAAGATTTGCTGATGACGGGATTGGATAGGTTGAGCCTGTACCCATTGGACTTTAGAACAGTGAGAGGCAACTTAATTGAAACACATACAGTTCTTAGGCTGCTTGACAGATCAGGTACAGAGAGGTTGTTTCCCCTTTTGGGTAATTCTAGGACCAGAAGCATCATGTCCAAATGAGGAGTTGCCCATTTTAAACATAAGTGAGGATAGTGAATCTATGGAATTGTTTAGCATAGAGTCTGGGTCATTAGGTATATCAAAACTGAGAAAGATTTTTACTGCATAAGGAAGTCAAGGTTCATGAGGAAAAGGAAGGAAAGTGGAGCAGCACATTGGCTTAGTGGTTAGCACTGCTGCCTCACAGCAACAGTGACCTGGGTTCACTTCCAGCCTCAGCAACTGTCTGTGTGGAGTTTGCACGCTCTCCCCGTGTCTGCATGGGTTTCCGCTGGGTGCTCGGGTTTCCACCCAAAGTCCAAAGATATGCAAGTTAGGTGGATTGGCAGTGCTAAATTGTCCATAGTATTTAGGGATGTATAGGTTAGGAGTGTTAGCAATGGGAAATGCAGGGACAGGGAAGGGGGTGGACCTGGATGGGATGCTCTTCAGAAGGTCTGTGTGGACTTGTTGGGCTGAATGACCTCTCCCCCACACTTTAGGGATTCTATGATTCTGTAAATTCAGTGGAGTTGAGGATTAATCAGATCAGCCGTGATCTCATTCATTGTTTGAGCAGACTCAATAGTTGAATGGCCTACTTCTGCTTCTACATTTTAAGGACATATCATCTTATGGACTTCAAGTTCTGCAGAAACCCATCCTCATCTCTCATCAGATTCTTCAGTCATGAGGTGACACGCAGAAGACAATGTAGTCAGTTACAGTTTGTCCATATTAATATGGATTAGTCTGTCACCATTATTCACCATTGACAATATAAGATGAAGCTTAGAGGAGAAAAAAAAACTTAGATTTGTATAGTGCCTTTTGTAGCCCCAGGACTAGCAAAGCACTTTACAGATAATTCATTACTTTTGAAATGTAGTCATTTTTGTAATGGTAAAAACACTGCAGCATCGCCAATAAACAATACTAATATAATGATCAAATAATCTTTTACTTCTAATGTTGTTGGTTGAGGAATATTAACTGTGCACAAATCAATCAAAGAACTGTAGGGTGTTAATGTGATGT